CCTCCTAAGATTTTAGCATGGCAAGTCTCAGCTTTTTTGGAATCAAACTACGCCCACACTGTGCGAAAAACTCTGATATTATACTAGACACCGGTTTTGAAAAAAGAGGAATTAGTGATGACGGAGTGAATTGACAAGACATACACCATTCGAAAGGTGACCTCCTAAGATTTTAGCATGGCAAGTTTCAGCTTTTTTGGAATCAAACTACGCCCACACTGTGCGAAAAACTCTGATATTATACTAGACATCGGTTTTGAAAAAAGGTGAATTAGTGATGACGGAGTGAATTGACAAGACATACACCATTCGAAAGGTAACCTCCTAAGATTTTAGCATGGCAAGTCTCAGCTTTTTTGGAATCAAACTGCGCCCACACTGTGCGAAAAACTCTGATATTATACTAGACACCGGTTTTGAAAAAAGAGGAATTAGTGATGACGGAGTGAATTGACAAGACATACACCATTCGAAAGGTGACCTCCTAAGATTTTAGCATGGCAAGTTTCAGCTTTTTTGGAATCAAACTACGCCCACACTGTGCGAAAAACTCTGATATTATACTAGACATCGGTTTTGAAAAAAGGTGAATTAGTGATGACGGAGTGAATTGACAAGACATACACCATTCGAAAGGTAACCTCCTAAGATTTTAGCATGGCAAGTTTCAGCTTTTTTGGAATCAAACTACGCCCACACTGTGCGAAAAACTCTGATATTATACTAGACATCGGTTTTGAAAAAAGGTGAATTAGTGATGACGGAGTGAATTGACAAGACATACACCATTCGAAAGGTAACCTCCTAAGATTTTAGCATGGCAAGTCTCAGCTTTTTTGGAATCAAACTACGCCCACACTGGGCGAAACACTCTGATATTATACTAGACACCGGTTTTGAAAAAAGAGGAATTAGTGATGACGGAGTGAATTGACAAGACATACACCATTCGAAAGGTAACCTCCTAAGATTTTAGCATGGCGAGTTTCAGCTTTTTTGGAATCAAACTACGCCCACATTGTGCGAAAAACTCTGATATTATACTAGACATCAGTTTGAAAAAAAGTGAATTAGTGATGACGGAGTGAATTGACAAGACATACACCATTCGAAAGGTAACCTCCTAAGATTTTAGCATGGCAAGTGTCAGCTTTTTTGGAATCAAACTACGCCCACACTGTGCGAAAAACTCTGATATTATACTAGACACCGGTTTTGAAAAAAGAGGAATTAGTGATGACGGAGTGAATTGACAAGACATACACCATTCGAAAGGTGACCTCCTAAGATTTTAGCATGGCAAGTGTCAGCTTTTTTGGAACCAAACTACGCCCACACTGGGCGAAAAACTCTGATATTATACTAGACACCGGTTTTGAAAAAAGGTGAATTAGTGATGACGGAGTGAATTGACAAGACATACACCATTCGAAAGGTAACCTCCTAAGATTTTAGCATGGCAAGTCTCAGCTTTTTTGGAATCAAACTACGCCCACACTGGGCGAAAAACTCTGATATTATACTAGACATCAGTTTGAAAAAAAAGTGAATTAGTGATGACGGAGTGAATTGACAAGACATACACCATTCGAAAGGTGACCCCCTAAGATTTTAGCATGGCAAGTTTCAGCTTTTTTGGAATCAAACTACGCCCACACTGTGCGAAAAACTCTGATATTATACTAGACACCGGTTTTGAAAAAAGAGGAATTAGTGATGACGGAGTGAATTGACAAGACATACACCATTCGAAAGGT